TTTAGAATTGTTTTTTCTGTTTTTGTGAAAAATAACATCGGAGCTTTTTTTTAGTATATCTTTATTGATTTTGGAGAGAGGAAGGGAGAGGGGAAAAAGAGTTGAAACATCAATGATGAGAGAGTCATTGATCGGCTGCCTCCTGCAAGCCCCCGACTGGGGTTCAAGCCTGAAACCTGGGCATGTGCCCTGACGGGGAATCGAACGTGATCTCCTGGGTCCCAGGTGGACGCTCAACTGCTGAGCCACACCTGGCCAGGCCATTGGAGCTTTGATAGTGATGCAATGAATCTGTAGATCGCCTTAGGTAGCATTGACATTTTAACAATAGGAATCCTTCTAATCCCTGAGTAGGGAAAATCTTTCCATTTATTTCTGTCTTCTTCAATTGTTTTCATCAGTGGCTATTAAATTTCAGCACACAGATGTTTCACTTACTTGGTTAGATTTCTTTCTAGGTATCTATTCCTTTTTGACGCAGTTGTAAATGGGATAGTTTCCTTAATTTCTCTTTCTGACAGCTCATTGCTAATGTATAGACACACAGTGACTTTTGTACATTGATTTTGTCTCCTGCAACTTTACTAAGGTCATTTCTGTAGCTTTTCTTCCGTCCTTTTCACAGGCAAAAGCTTTTCATTTCGACGAGGTCTAATTTATCATTTTTTCTTCTATGGATCTTGCTTTTAACGTCCAGTCTAAAGACTCTTCGCCTTGTTCTGAGTCTCAAAGATTTTCTCCTATCTTTTTTCCCTAAAAGTTTGACCGTTTTACATTTGAATCTGTGATCTGTTTTGAGTTAATTTTTGAGTAAGGGGTGAAGTTTAGGGTGAAGTTGAGTCTTTGACCCATGGATGTCCCCAGAAAGATTTCACAGAGGAGAAAACAGTTTCTCAGAGAATAATCTCACCCAGGATCGCAGAGTAAAGGGTTGGAGAGCTGGACTCAAACCTGGCTGTGTGCTTTTCTTCTGCTCCAAACTGTGACACTGACGTCTGGACTGGCTCCCAAGGATGAGCCAGGCCTGGCCGGGGAGTGGGGAGCACCTTGATTAGCCCTCAGGGTGGTATTTCCAGTGGCCAGCTTGGTACAGGGTCATTCAATCAGTAAACAAACACTAGCCTGCCAAACAGAGCCTGCCATGCATTTGCTTGAGCTGGGCACTGCTAGGCCCCAGGCTCCCCTGGGCCCATGGTCATAAACTATAGGGAGGCAGGTTTTAGAAGTTCCCTCTGCTGCTCACAGGGAGGGTGGGTTAGAGGGACAAGGTGGTGCAGCGATGAGGTGGTGCAGTTCCCCTGGTCACCAAGCCCAGTGGCCGGACTTGGCATTGGCTGCAGGGAGGCAGGACTTGGGGGAAAGGAGAGGAGCAACTCCCAGGCTTCTTATGTGGGCCCTTGGCTGGATGCAGGTGCTGATGCAAACGTGGAGCCCCGTGGGGCAGCTCCTACATCCCCAGAAGCCCGTGCTCTGGCAAACCCGGAGCCCCTGCCCAGGTCCCTGGCCCTCACTGTCTGGGGACTGTTCCCTCCTGAGTTGGCACATTCAGGGGACTGTGCTTAAGTGGTGACACCTCTGTCGCTGTCATAAAGGAGGGGTTGTTCTTTCTTGAAGTTCAGCATAAACATTTGGGTTGGTGAACTGAGCCAGCTGTGCTCAGAGGCTGTGCCCATGCCCGGAGCCTGGAGTAGGCTGAGTACATTCAGTCAGAATCTCCTGACTCAGGCTTTCTGAGCTATTATGTGGCTGTGACTCCTCATCTGTCCCTCCCAGGAGGGCTGGGTCCTCAGGCACCAGAGACAGCCAGTCCAGGAGGGGCCCATCACCTACCCTCTGAATGCTGGACACGAGTGGCCCCAGAGTCCTGCCATGGGGCCCTGGGCTGTGTCCCTTGGTCTGACTGTTCCAGGAAAGTTATGCTCTCTCTGTGCCTGAGTTCTCCCATCTGCACAACCGGTGGGGGTGCACGTGTTGGGTGGGGAAGCTGGATGAAACACTGCCTGACCTCCTTCGCGGGGCTTTCTGGGACCCTTTCTCTCGTCCTTTCATCCTGTGCCTTTCCTCCTTCCTCTCTCTCATATTCACTAGTTCATTCATGCACAAATGCTCACAGAATATCTCTTCTGGGCCCAGCCCTGAATTAGGTGATACCTGGGACTGGGAAATGACTCAGTCCCATTGTCAATCCTTGGGGAGCTCCCGGTCTGGTAGGGAAGGTAAAATATACTAGCAAACAATTGTGATTCAACCCTGGAGCCCTTAGGAGGAAGCTACTGTGCCCTGGGGGCGAGTGGGGAGGGCGTCAGGGAAGCCTCTGAGGACCAGCTCTTTGCAGTGGGCCGTGAAGCAGGAGATAAACAAGGGTAGGGGTGGAGACCCAGAGGAGACGTCTGCAAGAGCTTGGAGGAGTCTAAGTGCTGGGTGTGTGTGAGAAAATACAAACAGGTCAGGGTGGCTGGTGCATGGGCACCGGATGGGAGGACCTGGGACCAAGGGCTCGAAAGCTGTGGAAAGGATCTTTCCCTGGGAAGCCATGGGCTCCAGGGCTCGGGGCTGGGGAGGGGGAGGGGTTCCTGAGAAGTAAGTGATACGAGCAAAGCTGGGATTTTGAAAGGATGGAGAGGAGGGGAGGGAGGCAGTGAGGAGCTGGTATTATGGAGAGGAGATGGAGCCAGGGTGGTCCAGAGTGAATTGGGCAGGGCGTTGGGAAGAGAAGCCATG